AATCAATAAAAACATATCCTTGGGTGAGGATTTTTTTAAAAAGTATCCATATACTTAAAAAAAAAACCCACAAAACATTTATCTACAAGTCTTTGTGGGGACATATGTTTTCATTTCTCTTGGGTAAATAGGAATGGAATGGCTGGGTCTCATAGTAGTTATTTAACCTTTTAAGAAACTACCCAAGTATTTCCTCAAGTAGTTCTATTTTACATTCCCATCAGCAGTTTATCAGAGTTCTAGTTCCTTCACATCCTTGTAAACACTTGGTATAGTCAGTCTTAGCCATTCAAATAGGTGTGTAGTGGTTTCACATTGTTGGTTTTAATTTGCATTTCCTTTATAACTAATAACTTTTAATGTCTTTTTATTTGCTTACGTGCTATCACTATATCTTTTGATGAAATGTCTATTCAAATTTTGTGCCTGTTTTTAAGTTGGGTTGTTTGCTTTTTTATTAATTGTGTTTTGAGAGTTCTTTATAAATTTTGTATGAGTCTTTATGTTTTGCAATTATTTTCACCTAGCCTATGATTTGTCTTTCCATTCTCATAACAGTATCTTTCAAAGAACACTTCTCATTCTTTTAAAAATATTTATTATTTTTTAATCCTTACCCAAGCACTTAGAGGAAGGGAAAGAGAGAGAGAAACATCAATGTGAGAGAAACATCGATTGGTTGCCCTCCATACAGGCCCCAACCCGGGATGGAACCCACTACTCTTCGATGAACAAGATGATGCTCAACCAACTGAGCCACTCTGGCCGGGCCAGTTGTCATTTTTATGAAGCCCAATTTGTTCTTTTATGGATCATGCTTTTGATGATGTAGTTAAGAAATGTTTACCTAATCCAAGATCACAAAGGTTTTCTATGTTTTTTTCTTGATACTTTGTAGTTTTAGGTTTTAGATTTATGTCTGTGATTCATTTTGAGTTAAATTTTGTATATGGTGTGAGGTATGAATCAAAGTCCCTTTTTTGGCACATAAACTATGCTGTCACCATGTCATCAATCCTTTATTCTTTTACTTCTGCCATTCTTTATGTTTATGTTTTATGGCTTTTTAATATTTTAGATATTTTTTTTCCTCCAACAGCAAATAGTTTGATTTTTTTAAAAATCGGTTTGACAGTGTCTCTTTAAACTGGAGCATTTAATCAGTTTACATTTAACATAATGACTGATATGAGTTTAAGTCTGCTATCTTATCATGTACTTTCTCTTTGTTCTCTGTTTAGTCTCCTTTTGAATTTATTTATTTTTAAAATTTATGTTTATTGTTAAAAGTATTAGAGATGTCCTCTTTTTTCCCCCATTGACCCCTTCTATCCTGCACTTGTCCCCCCGCCCCGCCCCAGGCCTTCACTACACTTTTACTTTTTTTTTTTTTTCATCATCATGGTCTTTTTATTAGTTAGGAAATTATACATTTGTGTTCTTTTCTTTAGTTGTTATCCTGGAAATTCTCAAGCATCCTTAACTTGCAAAAGCCTGATGTTACTACATACCTTTACTAGCCTCCTGGATTATAAACAAAATTAGAACACTGTTAGTCTACCCTACTCCTGATATATTTTTGTCATTGTGCATTTTAATTATATTTTAAAACTTCACAAGATCTTTTTATTTTATATAGTCAATGTGTGTTTACACTCCCCCAGTTCTTTGTTCCTTACTCCTTTCTACAGCTCTGTCTTTATATCAAGTAATCTTCTGCATGAAGCATCTTTAGAATTCTTTATAGAACAGATCTGTTATATTTGTTTTGTTTGAAAATATCGTTTGTTTTTATTAATGGATATTTTCACTGGGTTTAGAATTTTGGATTGGCAATTATTTTCTTTCAGCAGATTCAAGATATTAGTGTACTCTTAGTTTCCATTGTTACTGCTAAGAAGTTAGCGGACATTCTGTCACTCCTTTGAAGATAATCTTTTTTTTCTCTTATTGTTTTTAATATTTTTTATACTTTATACGAAGTATTTTTATACTTTAATATGATGTGTCTAGGTGTGAATTTTTCTTTTCTATATTGATGCAATATTATGTTTGGCTTCTAGAACTGTGGACTTCAGTATTTCATGGGCTCTCAAAACTTCTTAGTTTTATCTTCAAATGTTGCTTCTCCATTTTTTTCTGTGTTTCTTGGATTCCTGTATTCCCTTCATTTGAAGTCTAATCTCTTCTGTGTGTTTCTGAAGGCAGCATGGAGAACTAAAAAGGTGAGTAGGCTCTTCTAACTATCCTTCCAGTTCATGTAATTTTCTCTTCTCTTTCTAATCTACTGTTAAGCCTGTGACTTAAGATCTCAATTTCAATTATTGTAATTTTTTTGTTCTAAATTTTTAAAATTCTTTTTCAAATCTGTTTTGTTTCTAGTTCTCTGCCAGACATTTCAAGTTTTTATTTTTATGAACATTGTCACACAGTTATTTTATGGTCTGTGCCTAATAATTACAATATTAGAAGTCTTTCTTTGTTGGTTGGTTTCTGTTGACTGTTGCTTCTGTCCTCCTTATGTTTTGTTTCCTGTATTGCCTTGGTTATCTTTGGCTGTTTTTTGGATGTTGTACTTGAAACATTTTTTGTGGGGATAATTTGAGGCTTTTTTCCAGAGATTTCATTTGCTCTGCCAGGTGCTCGGAAGCTCTATTCATTTGGGACCTTCTTGAGATATTGTAATGACTTAGAGAAGGGGAAGCCAGGTTTCAGTTTATGGAATAGGCGTTTTACTTGTTGCTCACCCTTCTTTTGAGAGTTGTAGCCCTTTCAGGTAACCATTTTAATTAAATAGGGTGGCTTTGCGCTTTAGCCCTCATTCCCACAGTTCTTTTTTTGGATTTGGCATTGCCTTCAGGGAGAAAGTGGGTTCTCATCTTTGTGATTTTTTTTTTTTTTTTTTTGGCCTGGTAATTCCACATTATCTTGTTCTTTAATGCTTACAAGAAAAAAATGTATTTATGTGGCTTTCTTCATTGTCTTTAGAGGCAGAGTTGCCTATTCGACCATTACCAAAAATAGACTACTTATCTCATGGAATTTAGTTTTACTTAGACATATTTATGTAAAACAACTTGTAACAGATAGTGAACTGAGTAATTTGTAGAAAAAGGTTTAAGATAATATATGATTATGTAATTAGGCAAGATCCATTTTGTTCAACATACTTTTATATGTAACAACTACCAATTACCTATAAATTTGTATATGCCACACACTTGTACTAAATACTTTCTACCTGTTATCTGACTTAATTCAACCTATGAGGTGCAGGTATTATTACTATGTTCTCTCTTTTACAAATGAAGAAATCAAGGTTCAAAGACGTTAATGAGTTTGTCCATGTCACACAGTTTAATAAATGGTTAAGCTGGTAGTCACTCAGGCCATCTGACTCTGAACTCTAAATCTCTATACTTTTTTCTTTATAGTCCTACAAGAGCATATAGCAAGAGAACCTGATCTAGTCATGGAATCAGGGGAGATTTCCCTGAAGAAGGAAATTTGAGCCGACATCTGAAGAAGGTCAAGTATGAGTTAACTAAGTGAAGAAGAGGTTGAGTTTCCAGGCCTTGAACGTGGAGGGAGATGGCACTTTGAGGATTTGAGAGAGGTCTGGGGTGGCCATTAGGAAGATTGTTAGAAAACGTGGCTCCACACTCTTTGGGAGATTCTCTTACATTGATATATACCACCCTTATGTCTGGCTTACATGGTGTATTCTTCCCACTTTAAAACTGGCTGATTCCTAATGGTGATGCAGTAGAAAGAACACAGCACCACCTCTGAATTATTCTTGCCAAAAAATACAGAACCTGAATTTAAGAAAGCCACTAGATGTAACCAGTTTACAAGAAATATAAGAGATGGAGAAATATGTTAAATGATGAGAATACAATAAGCCAATTCTGAAATGTAGGAAACTGCAAGATAAATGGCTTACTTCTTCAACAAATAGATGGCATGTTAAAAAGCAGACTGGGACTATTAAAAATTAAAAGAAACTTAAAAGCGCTATATATGGACTTTGGAAAAAAATCACAAGATATTTGAGGGAAATTGAACACGGACTGGATATTAAGTGATAGTAAGGAATTATTGTTATTTTTATTGGATGTGATAATGAATCTATATTTGTTAGAGATGTATACTGAAATATAAGTGAGAGGAAGAAATGTAACAAGAATGGAAGAATGTTATCAAGGCTGGATTTATGAATACATGAGTTCATTATACTCCTCTGTTTTTGTGTACTTTTGAAAATTTTCTCTAATGAAAAGTTTAAAAAAAAGCTAGCTGAAAGGTGATAGCAGCTGAAGTTGTCTGACATTTTTGCAAAGGATCTTTATTTAAACTAAGGGCAGGAGGGTTGAACGTAGTAGGTGATTGAGTTATTGAAAGAGACCAATGTTTGAAGGGAGAAAGGACTCCGATGTGAAACTGCAAAAATGGCAGCATTTAAGAATTTGTAATATGTTACTAGGTTTAGCTAAAAATAAGTTATTAGTGACTGGTAAATTGTTTAGTTGGATTTCACTATCTGAAGCAGATAGGGAAGGGTGGGAGGGTGCTTTGGAAGAAATACTGAACTGGCAGCAAGGAGGCCAGTCCTCTAATCAGTCCTGGAAGATAATTTCACCTCTGTGGGCCTCAGCTGGCTCTGGTACCTGATATATTGGTATAGACACTTTTCTGCCAGCTATGAACAGCTAGAGGTTTGGGATTAAACAATTTCCAAGGTCCTCTCAAGTTCTGAAATTCCATGATGCTAATGAATATGTGGGATTATGCCTCTGGAGAGAAGGAATTATACCTATATATCAAACAATCCAGGGAAATTTTTTTCTATAAAATGGTAGACTCTTAGATAACAAGAGGAAGTGATGGTAGGTTAGACTGAATATAAACTTGTGTGTGTACCTGTCAGACAGAATCCTTTGTTGCTAATCTCTGATCTACTTAGAAATGAAGTGCCACTTAAGAAAGTGGCACTCCATTCACCCTTGGAGTTAGTCCAATGAATTGTTAGACTGGCCTGTAACTTTTGGATCAGGCAGAATTCTTTTTGTTTTTTGAGAAGCAGCTACCAAAAAATAACAGTTTATTAGCATCACATCACATGCTTTCACATCTAGTTAAAACAAATATTTCTCTTTGTTTGGTATGTGTGTAAAACCCCATATTGTTTTATATCTAGAGGAGAATGGTGTCAGATGCGGTTTATTCTAATCATTCTTTAACAAAAGTAACAAAAGTTTCAACACAGGAATGGCTTAAATTGCTCAAGAGTAGTGGGTTCTTTTAAAGATAATTTCATTTAATGCCTATTAACACTTTTTCTCTTTTAATTTAGGCAACTCAAAATTTTTCATTGCCAGTCTCTACTTCTTTGGTTCTGCAAACGAAATTTTATCTCCAGCAGCCCCTAAAGCCCAGTAAATCATCAAACAGACTCATGACTGAAAAACAGGTAGACTTGAAATATTTGAAACCAGTGTTTCTCAAAGTATGTGGTGGCAAAGAATACTACATCTACCGATGTGAAAAATCTTACTTTAAAAGGATTCTTTTGGGCGATGTAAAGTACAAGATAGGGAATATAATCAATAATATTGTAATAACTATGCATGGTGCCAAGTGGGTACTGGAAATATTGGAGGGAACACTTTGTAAAGTATGTGATTGTCTAACCACTATACTGTATACCCAAAACTGATACAAAATAATATTGAATGTAAATTGTAATTGAAAATAAATTCTTTTATTTAGTAAAATAGTTTTGGGAAATGGTAGGTTAAAAACTATTAAATGATTTCATTGTTCTAAGACTTCACAATACTATCAGCCTCTAAAAGGAGGCTTTAGTATAAAGCATTTCCTACTTATTTAACACTAGCCTGATTTCATCAAACTAGTGTTCTACAGCACATACTTTGGAAAATGCCTTTCTTAGCTCTTTTTAGAATTTACAAACAGTTATGTTATCCTTTCTCTTAAAAGGTATCAGGGGCCCTGACCTGTGTAGTTCAGTTGGTTGGATCATTGTCTCATACACCAAAGATTGTGGGTTCAATTCCTGGTCAGGGCACATACCCAGGTTGTGGTTCCATCCCCTGTGGGGGTACATGTGAGAGGCAACAATTGATGTTTCTCTCTCTCTCAAACAAAAATCAATAAAAAAAAGATCAGGGAACAACATGTATAATTTAATCATTTAAAATTCATGACATTTTTACAAAGCACTTTGTTTCTATAAGTCATACTAGACCTCCACTGAGATCCACACAGAGCTTTTCACTCCTAAAGCAGGTATCAGTAATAATTTTATTTTTAAAATTTTTATTTATTGATTTGAGAAAGGGGTGGGGAAGAGAGAGAGAAATATCGATTTGTTGTTCCACTTACTTATGCACTCATTGGTTGCTTCTTGTATGCACCCTGACCACGGATCAAACCCACAACCTTGGCTTGTCAGGATGACTCTAACCAACTGAACTACCTGGCCAGGGCTATCAGTAATAATTTTAGTTCTGTGTCATTAATCTTTGTAACCAGAAGACCTAAGCATAAATAAGAGGAAAGGTTTGGGGAAGGAGGAGAAGTATAGAAAAGATAAAGAAGGGAAAGAAAGTCAGCAGTCAAAAGGAAAGATTTATTTGGCGCTGTGAGTCATAATGCTGTCAGAGTCATCAGGGTAATATGTTCCTTTTTTGTCTTGATAGAATCTTTAATGTCAGAGGGACATTTGGATATGGAGAATAATACTTTTATTCATGCTTTGTCTGTCTAAATTATTAACCTTTAAGCTATTACAGTATTTATATAGTATACCAGTAATAAAAATGTATTTATTGTATAAATTATATTTTTTCAAGCATTTAAACATGGAAAAGTCATTCAAATTGCCCTTTTATAAGTATACTTTAATACCTTAAAAAGCAAGCAGAGCACCTCACACAGTGATTTCAAAACTGATCATTGTACTTAACATTAAAAGCCCTCATTATAAAAAGCCCCCAAGATATAAAACTATCTTGGGTTTAAATGCCATTTAAAATAGTCATCTCTCTTTCTATTATTCCTGTCCGTATTTTATGTCCTTTTTACTTTTTTCTTCCCATTGTTATGTTTTTGAATAATCTAGAGAGTTAGAGTTCCCCTCTCAGCTTTATGGCTGAAATACATACTTAGAATCAGGGATACAAGACTTGGGAATATCTCTCAGAGTGATTCTACTCGAATTAGTTACCTAGATGGACAGACTTCTTTTTATAGTTAGACCAAGTCCATTATACAAGGAAGTATCTAAATTATTGGCTTCCACCAGTCGGATATGTTTGTGCACGCGAGTGCGTAACCTTAGTCATTATTAAAATGACACTTGTTTCCAAGTGACTTACCTTTTCTTTACTATTCAGTTAATATAATCTAGTTTGGAGCTGTTTCTTTTGAGTAGGGCCTGGTCTGGTTCAGTTAAATCAAAAACTTAAGGCCTGTTTGGTTCACTGCAATTACAAGGTGTATTTTTAGTTGTTTTAATTATTGTATGTGCATAAAAATTTATATTAAAAACTTATGGAGAAAAAGTTCGGTTATTCTGAAAACAGAGGAAATTATATACAAGAGGGTATTTCTTCACTTTACATCATAAAGTTGATCCTTTCTCCTTTGTAGCAGGAAGAAGCAGAATGGGAGAGCATAAATGTGCTGTTGATGACCCATGGCTTAAAACCTTTATGTCTAATCAAAAGAACAGATTCAAAAGGTAATCAGATGCTATTCTTGCTCCTTATAATAAAAAGCTGCTTTTTCCTTTAAAATATTTTCTATCTTAATTTTTTTTGCCTTACCTTTATTTTTACTATTTGTATAACATTTTAAAAAATGTAGATCTCATCATTTTTGACAAGCAGTCATCACAAAGGATGAGACAGAACTTGAAAACATTGGTGGAAGAAACAGCACGTCAACAGAACATGATCCAGGAGCTCATAGAAACTAATCAGCAGCTTAAGTAAGAAAGTGGAAAAAAAAAATCTCTTTTGAATTTTTTGTATCCAAGTGGATACAAATACAGGTATTTTTAATAGGTAATCTTTGGGTAATAGCTTTCCTTAGATATGTAATGGCACCCTATGTTTCTTCTCTTGGTTTGTGTTATTAGATAGAAATTTTAAGAATGCAAAGAAATTTTAGAAATTCGTTATGTTGTTAGATGGGCTGGTTCATTGATGTGATTTATGTTTATTACTAAAGAAGGAATTATTTGTCTATTATTAGAAAAGAACTTCAGCTAGAGAAATGCCGAGCAGTAAATCAGGAACAACGAGCTAATGACTTGGAACAAATTATGGAGAGTGTGAAATCCAAAATTGGTGAATTGGAGGATGAATCCCTAAATAGGGTTTGTCATCAGCAGAATAAAATAAAAGATCTTCAAAAGGAGCATAAAGCTTTACAGGTACCGAGTTATGTGTTTTCTTACATGATAGTACTAAAACAGCTCATCAAGGTTAGAGGTGACTTCCATGTTGCTTAATTCAATGGTCTTTACCTTTCTTGTCCTATTACTGTCTCTTCTTGAGATTCTTCCTTTGGTTTCTAGAATATCTCCTCTTTTGGTTTCCCTCCAACCCCACTGCTGGCTCTTCTCATCTCCCTAACCTTTCACTGTTGGGATTCCCTAGTACTAATTCTTTAGACCTTTTCTCTTTCCTTTGTACTCTAACTCCCTTGATGAGGCTCAGTCTAATTCTTAGCACCTAATTTAAACCTGTAGCCCAGGCCTCTTCCCTTAAGTCCTGACTCATATCCCACTATCTTCTTGATATCTCTCCTGGCTGTCTAATAGGCATCTAGAACTTTACATATCTAAAACTGAGTTCTTGAATTTCCTCTCCAAACTTTCTTTTTTCAGTCTCCATTGTGGTCCAAGTCAACTTCATTTCCCTCCTTCTCTCTTGGCCTCGCTGCTTCTCTCCTTGCCTTTTAAAAGTGCTTACAACATAGTAGCTCAAAACTCTCCATGGGTTTCCTTTTTCTTTAGTTTTATGGAGATTCTTGGATTCCTTTATGATTATGAGACCTTGAATGCATGCAATTATAAGCTATATTTCCCCTATTTTATACCTGTTTTACTTGCTACATTTTTGCATTTATGACATTAATGTTTCTGGAGCTAGCATCCATTTAAAATCAGCCTCAGTACTGAAGTTCTTGAATGAAGCAGCTTGATAGAAACTGTGAAGATGGCTTTGTGTACAATATTGTTAGGACAGCATGTCCTAGATGTACATATTGTAATTATGTTTTTTGAAAAATTTCTTCTAGGCAAAATGTCAGCATTATAAGAAAAAACAAATGGAGCAACAAGAGACTATTGCTTTTTTGCAAAAGGATATCTATAGATTAACAAAGGAGGAGGAAGAGCGCATTATCACTCAAAATAGAGTGTTTTCTTATCTCTGCAGAAGAGTTCCTCATACCGTCTTGGATAGACAGTAATGTTTGCTTTATAAATTGATATATGGATAGATTCATCATTTTTTAAAACTGATTTTATCTTGGGAATGGTTATATATATCTCTTATAAACTGGGTTCTGCTTTCTATATAGCAGGATAAAAATCCACAGGTTTTTTGAGCAAAGAAATTAAGCCTAGAGACAGAAAGACAAGTCAGTAATGAGTTGTAATAGTCTAGGTGGGAGATTATGAAGACCTGTGTTAGGGCTAAAGGAGAGATTGCAGAGATGGACAGGAATTGTCCAGACTGACTGACTATAGTTGTTGAGAGAAGAGTCAGAGATTGTTAGATTTCAAGGTAGAGTTGGGGAATGGGAGGGAAGATGAATTCATTTATGAACATGTGCTTGAGCACCTTATGTCCACTATGTAGTTAAAAGGACCAAACTCCAGAGAACTTCCAAATTTCAGACAGACAAGAGACAGAAAAGTTATGTTTGGGTGTCAGGATAACCAAGGAACAGAGTGTTTCAAGGAGAGGGTTGTAAGAAATGTTACATGCTGCCTCATCAGTTTATGTGTTTGCCTTCTTCCTGTCTTATTTGCTCAGAATTCCCAGTTTCACACATAATAACTCCTCGCTAGAAGTTTATTGAAGGTAGCAGGTAACAATCACCCAGAACGAATGAAGTTTGCTATGGAGGAAAAGATAAAAATGGAATGGTAGCATAAGGGGGAATTGTAGGGATGAAAGGGCTTGTGAAGGATAGTATGTGTGGGGATGGGGAAGGGTTGAAGAGAGAATAATTCAGAAAGTTATATTAAAAGCACAGTTGGTTGAATTAGTTCTGAAGGGAGGAGATGGGTAAGTTTTCCAAGATAGGAGGGAAATAGTATGACTTCTTACTTTAAAAAGAATAACGTGAAAGTATAGTGTTACTTTATTTTTCTCTGAGGACTTTTTATATTACAAAAGCAGTACGTGCCTATAAAAATTCAAATAATATTTAAGTGTTTAAAATGTTATAGACCTGCTTACCCCTCCTAATTCCTACATCCTAGAGATAACTGCTTTTAATAGTTTGGTTTGTGCCCTTCCTAGTGTTTCACAACAGGAGTGCTGTTGTTATTTTGGGTGAGACAGTTTTTATCGTTTAGGACTGTCATGTTCAGTGATGAACTTTTAATGTTCTGCCTTCTCCCCAACTAGCCAGTGTGCAACCAACTCTGTCCCCTAGAATATAGTATTCCCCCAGTTAAGAACCTGTAGAGTTCTTTTTCAATACATACACAAAATCATATGCAATTATTTCTTTGAAAAAATAGTAGTAGTATACATTTGGCTATGTAACGTTAATTTTTCCCTTACTCCTTATTAGGAAATACAAATATACATTATTTCTTCTAATGCGTCATTATTTTCTATAGTACGGATGTGCCATTATTTATTTAATTTTTTCCTTGTTGAAGAATAAATTTTCTTTTTCTACTTCTCTAAATAATGGTACAGTGAGCAACTTTGTTCATCTTGAGTTTCAACCTTGCGCAAATATTTCTGTGGATTGCTAGAGGTAGAACTGTTGGGACAGGGAGAATATACATTTACTATGTTGAGATATAATGTTTGTGGTTACTTTTAAAACTATACTTTGAAAGTAATATAAAATATATGATTTAGTATAGTACTTCTGGCAAAACCACTTAAATTTTTTACAAACTTGCTAGATTATCTGTACATTTATCACTATAATTTGAATTATGTAGAGAGAATAGTAAATGCTGCAATATCACATTTTGAAAATAATTCATTTTCTGTTTTCTAGGTTGCTTTGCCTAATTGATTACTATGAATCTAAAATTAGAAAACTTCATAAACAAAGGTATGACTAATCCTGAATTACAGTTTTTAAAGTTACTATTCATTTGTGAGTCACACCAAAAGTTTTCATAGCCTTTTGAAACTTAAAATATGCCTTAGAAATCTACCTAATATGTAGTTATGAATTTCTTTTTTTATAAAGATCCTGAAGACTGTATTTTATTACTTATGTTAAAATGTATTGTTCTAAAAAAAAGTGTTGTTCTACTATATATTAAATATATATATTTATTTCACCAAAATATTGGTTTCAGAAAAAATAGGGTTTACTTTATATTTTGAAGTATTATAATTTGTTCTGCTGATGTCATGGAGCCATTGGATAGTTACTGAGTGTATTCACAAAGCGATAGAATTAGATTAGCTGCCTAGCAAAGTGCAATCTAATTTGTATGCAGATTTATATGAGCTAAAGATAAAATGTCATAGTGAAAAATCAAGCATATAGAGAGTAAAACACACTTGTCACCTCTGATTAAAGAAATTAAGGTTAGCCCTAGCTGGTTTGGCTCAGTGGTTAGAGCGATAGCCCTTGGTCTGAAGGGTCTTGGGTTCAGTTCCAGTCAAGGGCACATTCCATGGTTGTAGGCTCAATCCCCAGCCTGGTCAGGGTTTATGAGGGAGGCAACCAATCAGTGTGGTGTCTCTTTCTCATCGATGTTTTTTTTTTTCTCTCTCTCTCTCTCTCTCTCCCCCCACTCACTGGAAAACAGTGGAAAAAATATCCTCAGGTGAGGATTAAAAAAAAAAAAAGATTAGGGGTAAAGATTAAAATAATGGTCTTCGACTAACCTAAAATAGCTGAAGGATATCTAAGGCCAAATAATCTAAAGAGCTTTAATATAGGGTCATTAAAACAGTAACTATTCTGTTTCATTGCTTATGGATGGAACGGTTTTTTTTAACAAATACTTATTTGAGCATCTTCTTTGTACCTGTTCTGTTTTAGGTATTCAGGATACCATAATAAACAAAGCAGATAAATGCTGCACTTTCATCAAGCATACGCTGTAGTATTCTTAAGAAAAATAACTTTCCAGAAACTCAGCAGGACCAGTGACAGAACTGTGCTGGTTGCTGATTCCTTCTAACCCTTTAGAGACTCTTTAAAAAAGAAAGCAGGATGGAGGGAAGAAGGGAAAAAGTGTAAAAGGGAGGAAGGGAAGACAAGAAAAGAACAGTTAATGATAGAGCAACTGGTTGCTTCATTCTATTTAGAAAGCAGTATTACATGAAACTTAGGGGATCTTCTGATTTTCAAATGAAACTTACTCTTTAGATGGTAGTGGTGGTGTTAAATTCTGCAGAGATAGGAGGAAGTTTTGGATAGGGTCCTTACTTTCTAGGATTTTGTAATCTGTTAAGGGAGATAAAATGCAACCACATAATAATTTAAAAAATAATATGAGACTTAAAAAACACTAATGTCACAATAATTACTAAAAATTATATAGACAGTAATGTAGGAGTATAAACTAGAACAAATTAGATTTGGATGGAGTGACCAGGGAAGCTTTTACAAAGCAGGTGGGGTTGTGCTTGAGCTCGAAGAATAAGTAAAATTTGGGAAAGCAGAAAGGCAAAAAGGTAGAGCCATTTTAGACTGCTTGACTGTTATGAGCAAAAGCTCGTAGATACGGAAGTGTAGATTTTCTTATGGTGCTGTTATTAAGCCAGTTTGGCTGGAGTTCAAGGGATTTGTGGGTATATTCATAGATAGATGTCATAACCTATAGAGGGCAGTCATTCAAATGCTGAACCAAGAGGAAGCTGTACGTGAATGAGAAGACATCATTTGCCTTGCAAAGAAGGAAAGCACTTTTTTCTTTAATACAGAAACACTGGGTGATGGGCTTATAAGTATGTGTGGTAGTCAGGGTTCTCAAGAAAACCAGAACCAATGAGATGTACATTTATATATATAGAGAGATTTATTTTAAAGGAATTGGTTCATGCGAATGTGAGGCTGGCAAGTCAAATCTGTGAGGCAGGCTGGAGACCCAGGGAAGAGTTGATGTTGCAGTGTTGAGGTTGAAGGCAGTCAGGAGGCAAAATACCACACATTTTGGCGGTCTTGGTCTTTGCTTTTGAGGCCTTTAACTAACTGCATGAGACTCACCCGCATTATGAAGGTTTATCTGCTTTACTCAGTCTATTGATTTAAACGATAATCACATCTAAAAAGTAACCTCATAGCAATATCTAGACTGGTGTTAGATCAAACAGTTGGGCACCATAGCTTAGCCAAGTTGACACTAAAATGAACGATGACCATACGTAGGAGTGAAGAGAAGGAGAATAAAGAATTTCCTAGCTTGAGAGGTTGTAAACTCTTATGCCCGCAGAGTAAAGAAAATAATGAAAATAAGTGAAGCTAGTTATATGGGGACTATGGCAAAGTGGAGAGCTGTACACCATCTGCCTTAAGGAGGTAGTTACTAAACACTCGCCAGTTGATGCCATGCAAGAATGTATGCCCAGTGTGGCTAGATCTGTTTTTTCCAGAGAAGCTACAAGGTTAGATTTATAAATGAAGTCTGATTTTTAATGTTCACAATAAATTCAATGCTTTAAAAAATATATCGTCCAAACTGAGTATTAGTTACTACCTTTGGTCTATGTCTTTAGTAAATTCTCATCTAGATTTCAGGGGTTGGCAAACATTTTTCTCTAAAGGGCCAGACAGTAAATATCTTAGGCATTTTAGGCTATATAGTCTCTTGCAACTACTCAACTCTACTATCATAGCATGAAATCAGCCATAGATGATATGCAAATGAATTGGCTTGTGCTCTGTACAACTTTAATTACAAAAACCAATGGACTGCTAGATGTAGCCCATAGGCAGCAGTTTGCTGACTGCTGATCTAGATGAAGAGAGTTTGGGATTTGTAGTAAGAGTAGAGAAGATTTAGCATAGCCATCATTGAAATCTTTCATGTAGAATATGGTATGAGAGGTTGCCTCTGAAGTTGTGTAAACTGGGGTTCTCGACTAATAATGACAAAAGAATTGAGGCCATTGTGGGGGTGGTGTTGCCTCCCATACCTGTCCCAACCCGGGCCAGGGATTGAACCTGCAAATCAGGTACGTGCTCTTGACTGGAATTGAACCTGTGAACCTTTGGTGTGTGGGCTGGTGCTCTAACCATTGAGACACTGGCCAGGGTGAAATAAATTTTAATACTTTATTTAACATTCAAAATACTATCATTTCAACATGTAATTAATAAGAACAATATTAATGAGATTTTTTCATATTAAGTCATTGAAATATGAATATTTTAACTTACAGCTTATCTCAATTCAAACACTAATTTTTCATTAGAAATATTTGATCTGTAGTTAGATTTCATGAAGTTTACAGTTGAAAAATAGTTATACATATCCAAGTTGTTTTAAACATAACTAAAAGTTTCTAGCAACTGAATCAAATACAAAAAATTGTTTTTCCTTTAATATTTGCATCCATATTTGCAGAATTGGTTTATTTTTTGAATAGTTGATTTGACTTTGAATCTAGACATATCTGTTTCAAAACTATATCCAACTTAAATAAATTCACTAGCTCTTATTTGGAAGGGTATTGCAAAAGTGAAAAGCAACTCTAAATCTACCAATAGCAACTAAAAGTTCTTCAGAGTTTTATTGTGTGTGTTTTTTCATTTGTTTGTTTTTTAATATCTTTTTTTTTTTTTAATATATTTTTATTGATTTCACAGAGAGGAAAGGAGAGGGAGAGAGAGAGAGAAATATCAATGATGAGAGAGTCATTGATCCGCTGCAGCCCACAACTCGGGCATGTGCCCTGACCGGGAATCGAACCCTGATCACCTGGATCCTAGGTCAATGCTCAACCGCTGAGCCACTCCTGGCCGGGCTATTGTGTGTGTTTTTTAATCTAGTTGTGCTCTGAGTTTGTCTTTACACACTGGGCTGTCTTGTAGTTTTAATAGCCACTTTACATGCATTGCTGATCAAAACTAAAATCTACATATTGACTCATTAGGAAAATTTTAAATCAATGCTGATTTCTATTATGATAAGTTTCCATTTCAATATAAATTCTCATATCTATGAGCTACTCACAAATAATGCTTTTTCTTTCTTTGGAGCTTCAAATTTAGCTTACTCATATGTAGAGTGATATCGGTGAAAAAATATAAATCACATAACCATTTTTTGTGTTTGATTATTGAACCTTTTTTTTCCTAGAAAATATTGAATTCAGGTTAAACAATATGGTAAACCTTTGCAACTTCCATGACTCAACCAATAAGCATTGGCAAAAACCAGAAGATCTTTAAATTCATTGCCCTCTATTTGATTCAGTGGTTTCACAAACTGGCACATGTGTTGAATAATTTTAACAACTATATTCATGACACTGTATCTGCTTCAGAAAACTGAGCACAAATATTTCCAATATGTACGTATACACAGTTCAAGAAAGCAACAGGAGAAACGTGTCTTTTTAAAAATTCCAGTAAATCTGGATTTTTAACCTTACAAAGCTGGAGCACCTTTCATTGTGATAAAAAATTATTTTTTTCATATATAGCTGAAATTCTTCTTTGATAGAATGTAAAATTCACAAATACATACACCACAGCTTGATTTTTTTTTTTTAGGCCCCAAGTTGCCAATATTTCCTGGTAAATCTGGAAGTCTTTTTCAGACAAAACAGTCCCAAAATATTAACTGGGTGCATGACTCATCAGAAGATAAATACTTGAAATTTTCCGAATTTTACTACCTTTAAATCTAAAAACAATTTCTGTTTTTGTGCAAGACTTCAGAGTGTTTTATAGCTGGCCAAAGTTATAAGCTCAGAGTCTGCTGAAAATTATTAAAAGTTTTTGTTGGATGGTTCTGATTTCAGTAGCTAGTCCCCATTCTCTATGAGCACAAGTAGGAAATTTGGTTTAAATTTTAATTCATATTTGGGTTATCAAAACCTTATTGGATTGATTTAATTTATGTTAGCTAGATTTTTTCTTTGAAGATAGATTTTTCATAAGAAGTGTACTGCATATATTTTTTCATAGGCAATACAAAGAAGATGAAAGTCAGTCAGAAGACGATGACTACAGAAGTCTTGATGCCTCACCGACTTATAAAGGCCTTCTAATGGTATGGGGACTACATGACTCATAAATATTTTTTTATAAAATAAAATAATCATCTAGGAAAGTTAACTTTTTAAATGAAATGTGTTGCAGTCGTTACAGAATCAACTGAAGGAATCAAAATATAAGATTGATAAACTTTTAAGTGAAAAACTGAATCTCCAAAAAGATTTGGAAACCAGGTGAGAGACACTTAAGTCATTTGTAAGTAACCTTTGGAAAGTAAACACATAATGGAATTTGGGATGTTAAATGAGTCAGTTTAGCCCTTTTACTCTAAAGCTAATCTTGGGGAAATTCATATTCATAGTCATTTTAGTCAGTTTTCTCTCATATGATGGAAGGAACAAGAACACATAGGTAGACAAGGAAGTGAGAAAATAGGAGTGGACATTGACAAGATAAAACTGGGTAGGAACTCAGAGTAGATTCAGTCTTATACTACTGGGTTTCCCATTCCCAAATTCCTTTAGGACATCTTATTATTTCATCTTATCCCTGTGTGTTGTGGAAGGAGAAGAAACTAAAAAGTTTAAATGGCATACCACAGAAAGGTATATTTATATAGAGCATGCTACCACAATAGAATGAGGCCTTCCATGTAACTAGTAAGTAAAAAGGAATGAGATGTTTCTTCAACAAATATTTGTTGAACACCTATTATGTTAGACACTACCCTAAGCTCTAGTATAATATAATGACCAAAACAAATACCTTGTTCTCATAAAGCTTATACTTTAGTGGAGAGGGGACTGATACCTACAGTATAAACCACTTATATAAATTTTAACAACCTGCCACATAGTAATATGGAAATTTATGATTATGTAAATATATAGTAACACCTTTAAAACATGCACGGGAATCATGAACAGTGAATTCGGGATTTTGGTTACCTGTGTTATGCAAAGGAGACGAATGACATTAATAAGGGACACACATGGAGTTTTAAGTATATGTATAACATTTTAGTTAAAAAGAGATTTGAAACATCTGTTAATATTCAACCTGGATATTGTAAAACTATTTGTAAAATACTATTTGTTTTACTGTTCTTTATTCTTGTCTGTTCATATGAAATATTTCATTAGATAAACAAGTTAATAGGTTAACAACAATAAAAATGGGTAAAAAGTTTTGAATAGAGAATACAGAGAAGAAATCTAGTGGCCAATAAACACCTCACTGGCATCATGAAATATTTTAAGAATTTTGATAAGCGTATTTGTGATAACTAACAAAGTATACTCAATTGTTTATTAAACATCTTTACAGTTTTATTTATTAAATTGAATCTATTCAATATGATTTATTTCCTACAGGCCCACACAGCATGAATTAAGACTTTATAAACAACAGGTGAAGAAACTGGAGAAAGCCCTAAAGAAAAGCATCAAGTAATTATATTTTACCAACATTACTAATTTATTAGGCTTTTGTATTTTGTTACCTGTCAGCTTATCTCATGCTTACCTCATAGTGGGCTTGGCTTGAAGTTACCAGGCTGATAGAGGGAAAAGACAATAAAAAGGGATATTTCTGGTTCCGCAGTTTCAAAACAGTTTCTACTGTGTTGGATTTGGCTATATATTCATCTTAAATAAGAACAAGAGAAAAGTATTTGCCCGATGTAATAAAGGGCAAGATTTTAACTAGAAAGTTGTCTTTGGAAGTCATGAAGGAATTGTAAGAGAATCACTGAAATTAAAAATAACAAGCCCAAGCTTTCATTGGTGGTAGCCGTGACCTGAAGAATATATAGCCTCACCACACTTTAAAAGTACCAGGATGGATAGCTATTCATATTCACCACTTGTATCTTTCTTGGCTTTGAAAAGCATGTACTCAGAGGAATTTCCAAAAATTTGTCCTCCGAAAGTGATAGTATTTCCTGAAGATTATCTATGTGTACTCTTTGGTTCAACAGAATGGGACTTGAATGAGCATTGAGATGAAATATTTTGAAAATTATATGAGTTAATATATGTATTAGATGTATTAAATCAATTGTATTAGCATAAGTTGATTCAGCTTTTAGTGATAGCTGTTTCCTTCTTCCTGTGGCAGCACATGCCACATTCATGGACATGCCCAACACAAACATTTCCAGCTGTTGAACAAGATGATGCTCTGCCTTCTTATTTCAGCCCTCATACTGTAAACAAGCATCCTTTTTGTGATCACAATGCCACTTTTTTTGCACATTGTTGTTGCCAATTTCTCTGTGATGGCCCCCAAGCATAGTGTTGAAGTGCTGTCTAGTGTCCCTATACAAGAAGTGATGTGCCTTACAGAAAAAAATGTATGTGTTAGGTAAACTTCATTTAGGCATGAGTTATAGTGCTGTTAGCTGTGTCTTTAAACATTAACACATAAAACTAGGTTATATATTGATCAGTTGAGGAAATGTGACCAGATGCATGCAGGAACCTGACCCTGTGTTTCTCCTAGGAGCAATGGTTTAATCTTTGCTAATTTAGTGTTTATGGTGACTTTATGGAACATAACTACCACAAATAGGAATTGACTATAAATATGTTTTGTGTTGTTCATTTAGGCTCTGGTCTTTATATTGATTTTTTTATTATTAGCCTTTAAAATTGTGATTCAGAACCAATCCCTGCCATATTTTTCTGCTGAATTTGAAGAAATTATTTGTGTTTTTAGAAATTTAAATTTGGAATTTTAAAAAAATCTATGCTCTTTAGGTATGGAACTTTTATAGTATCTAGATGTGGAAACAGAATTAGGAATGTTAGGTAACTTTCATCACTTGGGTAGTATATAGAAGAACTTTAAAAGAAATTAGGTCTGTATCCAATCATTGTTACTTCAAATCTCACACTCCTAACCACCACACTGATAAATTAGAACCAAACAAAGCACCCAGTGAAAAAATTTTTAAGGTAAAACATTTCAAATTTTTATTTTCTTAAGTGGCAGAGGTAGAATATTTTTTCAAACAACTGATACTGGGGAAATAATTAAGAATAAAATCTGTCAACTCAGTGAATTCTTTCCACATATATAGAAAAAAAGAAACAGTTTCATTACTGAATAAACATTGAACCAGACTGATGTGCACTATAGGCAATCCTCTAAAGAGATGGCAAAGACACAAAGAGATCTCATGCTTTTATACAGCCAGGCATATACTATCTGTTACATACATGTGAATTGTCTTTATCCAAAGGAAAAAGAAAACTTTTTGTATCCCTAGCCCAAGCAGGAAGTTACAATTTAGAGCTAGGAGCCCAGGCTAATCTCCAGTAAAACTGGGAGACAAGGTATAGCCCTCCCGGATATCCACATTCAAAGAGATGGTTCCAAGACCCCCAAGGCAGGCATTCATAGGATGTAAAATTGGCAAGAGGCTTATGTAAATTTTAAAAATTTATGTTCTTCTTAAAGAGACAGATGGGATTTGTAGCTACAGTTTTCAAAAGGAAATGCTACAAGAGAAAGGAGGGAAAGTCTCTTTCCCTTTTAGAATAAAAAAATTCATTTTTCCCCTTTAGATTTGTAGCTACCTTTCAGCTCACCAACCTTCAATATCAAATGAGGATATTAATTTAACATGGGAAAACACGGGCTCCTCTTGTTTGAGTTAATATTACAAATGGGTTAATTGTAAAATTCTGTTGCTAGGAAGTGATCAGATAGGTGTGCCAGTGCAAGATAACCAAAACACAATTCCCTTTCATTTTTAATGGTATATGTATTTTGCTAAGGAGGAAACAAAATCAGAATCCCATCACCCTAGTGTTGAGATGACAGGTGTTGAGGTGGTCAGTTAGACCAACAAGACAAACTGAAATTAACAATCTAGGCTTTATTCACTTACTGCAGTAGTATTAGCAAGGGGCCAAAAAGAAAAGTTTGCGTTGTCAATGTTCCATTTTCCCCAGGAAATGGCACCAGGCAGGGGTAATCAGTGACATGTAGAACAGATGGGAAGAAACATCTCACTGCCTTAGGAGCCTGGCACAAAAGACCCCTACTGTTTCATGGGCCTAGGAGTAGGCCTAGGAATAGAAAAGTAGAGTCAGACTGGAGAACAGTGTTTCAGTTAAGGCTCTCCCTACCCCATAAGGAGAAGTGAAAAGTGCCTCTCTCAGAGCCCCCCAATAAAGAGGGATCAGAATGGAGGCACCTGGGCTAGGAATGCAGAAATGCATGTGAGCATGGCCAGCCAGGAGTCTGGAGGGAGGGGAGAGGTTAGGGGGACTGAATTCTTGACAGCAATTCCCTCCAGAGATTACGATGCACACTTGGGCTAGTGTGTGCATGGGGGAGCGGCAGCTTTCCCCCATGAGGCTTTCCATGCAAAGCCTGTATAATTGCCTATGGATTGGGCCTGAAAGATAACACACAGGATTTTGGCCTGGAGCTGGACTCCCTTCCAAAAGAAGCATATTTTAAGCTGGAAGTGCAGTTTTCTGGTTTCCCCAGCCTCCACAAAGAAACAGAGCTAATGCTCTTATCTCTATGGAATGAGTGTCTACTAAGTACATAAAGTATCGCTTAGCCACTCTTAGGAGATTTGTATGGCCTTCAGGCCCTGCTCACTGCTTTGGAAACTACAAACAACCATTGCATATTTTGAGTACAGCCTATTCTGCTACAACATAGGTTTCTCAAACACTCTTAGCTTAATTAAAAATAAATAAGTAAAAAGCTTTTCCTCCCTGGCTTCTTGAAGGTCAGAAACCATCATGAATGACACAGTAACTATATGGACCAGAAAGTTCATGACCAATAGACTACTTGCGCAGAAACAAGTAGTCGTTGAAGTTCTTCACCCTGGGAAGACGACAGTTCCGAAGACAGAAATTTAGGAAAAACTAGCCAAAATGTATAAGACCACACCAGATATTATTTTTGTATTTGAATTCAGAACTCATTTTGGTGGTGGCAAGACAACTGGCTTCAGCATGATTTATGATTCCTTGGGTTACATAAATAAAAATGAACCCAAACATAGACTTGTCAGACGTGGCCTGAATAAGAAGACCTCAAGAAAACAGTGACAGGAACACAAGAACAGAATGGAGAGCCAGGGGGACTGCAGAGGCCAGTGTTGGTGCTGGCAAGAAGGAGCAAAGATTCATCAGTGACTTTATCTGTGGTGATTGTGCAGATTTTTTATGAGAGGATTACTAAACAGAACTTTTTTAAAAAGCCAAAATGAGAGGCCACAACATTTATTTATTTGGGATAAAAAAGAATTGAATACAGATTGAGACAGAAACCCAAATAGTGTCCCCATTACAGGGTGAAGGCAAAGAGTTTTTATGAGAAAGGGAAGGGGAATAATTACATGAATAGAAGGTAGGAGTTTCTATTGGTGCTAATAAGTAAAGGAAGGAATTTCTATAGGTGCAAATAAGCTATTATTCTCTAGCTAAAATGGTGGTGCTAATTCTAAAGATGTCTTTAATTTTCAGTCCAGAGTGTCTGCTTTCCTGGTAGTGTTACAAATTGTTTGAAATACAGTGATGTTTTAAGCCCAGTCCAAAGGTTATTTTGCCCAGTTTAAACATTCCAAAGGTTTAAAGAGCAAGACTGCAAGGTTAACTAACATTTAAATTCAGATATATCAGTTTTCTTTTATCCCACTGGAGAGCATATTGGCTTTTCTATGTCTCTTGTATTCTAGATAATATCTTCTTGGCCCTGCCTTTAGGCAAAACTGTAAAGTAGGTTAATATGGTAGATAGGTGGGAAATCAAGTGGAAAATAGATTATGAGGCCTTCGTGTCTACTAGAGGAAAGAGGTTGACTTTTACCTAGAGCTAATTCCAGTTGTTATTATTATTGTTATCATTATTATTATTTTTGTCATATACTCACCAGAGAGCAGAGCAGAGAAGAGCAATTGAGTGAGGATCATGGGTAATGCATGTGATGAGTAGATAATTGCACGGTAGTAGTAAGAGATGAGGTAAGAAAGGAATCAGGAAGAATATTGGGTTAGGACTAACAGTATGGAGAGATTCAAAAGCTAACCCAGGAAGGTTAGATTGAATTCACAAAGCAGTTGAAAGCAATTGATTGTTTTTTAGCAGGCAAATGACACGATAGCAGGCATATTGTCATTCTGTTTTACAAATAGCAGCAGGTCAAGTTCATTAATGAGTCATGGAATCAGTTTGACGAATCATGATTCTGTAGGAAACTGATAGGCATACTCAAAGTTAAGATGGTTAATTTGAAGAGGGTGTAATAAGAGAGCAGTTTTTTCAAAGGTATGGTGGGTGAAAGGAAGAATGTCTATTACAGCCTGACTTCAGAGATATTTGGAGAAGGGCAGCGATTTGCTACTAGGTGGATACACTCATACATAGTTAAGTTTTTGGGCAAAGAGACTCCCCCCCCAGCGTTCTAGTAACCACCTGGAACAATGGTCTCCTGGATTTTCATGCCCTCTTGCCTGGCCCAAGCATCACTGTTGTCTCTTGTATTCTAGATCATAAGCTTTTGGCCTTGCCTTTAGGCAAAATTGTAAAGAATGTGAATATGGTAAATAAGTGAGACAAGTGGAGCATGAAGAAGGAAGGATCACTTTCTAGTTCTTGCTGCTACAGTGCCCAAACCAATTGCCCTGCCCATTGCTTCTTGCTTCCCTTACCTATAGCTTCCAAGCTTGGATCCTTTGGAAGTTGTTTACATTCTCTGTAGTTATTGCCAAATTTTTTTTTTTAATCCTCACCTGAGGATATTTTTTCCATTGCTTTACAGAGAGAGTGGAAGAGAGAGAGAGGAAGAAAGTGAGAGAGAGCCCAGCCGGGCGTGGCTCAGCAGTTGAGCATCAACCTAATAGGATCCAGGCGATCGGGGTTCGATTCCCGGTCAGGGCACATGCCCGGGTTGAGGGCTAGGCAGCCGATTAATGACTCTCTCATCATTGATCTTTCTATCTCTCTCTCTCCCCGTCCTTTCCTCTCTCTGAAATCAATAAAAGATACAAAAAAAGAAAATGGATCTTTCCACTTCTTAAAAAAAAAAGAGAGAAACATCAATGTGAGAGAGACACATTGATTGGTTGCCTGCAACCGAGGTATGTGCCCTTGCCGGAATCAAACCCGGGACCCTTCAGTCTGTGGGCTGATGTTCTAACCATTGAGCCAAACCTGCTAGGACCTATTTTTTTTTTTTTTTCAAGTGTTAGGGAGTAGTTAGAACTTTCTTCTTCAGTCTGATCCCTTTTGTTTTCAGCAATGCCTTCTAATTTGTGGTGTATTGGGAGGACCTTCTTTTCCAATGACAATATGGCTTAAATTTTTAAAAAGGCATGTGTGTGTGAGCACATGCACACACACATATATAAAATGAAATAAAGCTTTTGGGAGGGTAGCTGGATCTTTGGCTGAGTTTATCTTAATCTAGTGTCTAGGAAAGCATTTTGTATTATCTTGATTTTCTTTCCTCCCCCCCTTTAGATTACAGGATCTTATCAGTCCAAACAAGGCTGAGGACACAGAGAAAAAAGATGAGCCCAGCAAAGATAACCAGCAGCAGGCCCTAATTGACCAAAGATACTTTCAGGTATTGACTAGCTGGCAAAGAGACTGGTGTTTGTAGTTAACCTTGGTTTCAATTGCAGTGTAATAAATTACCAGTTGGTAAGGAATACTTATATTTGTATCTGCTTATCCTGTTTTGTCTTGCCATGCCATACCTGTTTGGCTAAAAACATTGTAGTTAGCTTGCCTTAGAATATGTCTTAACCCTTAAAAGAGACTTTGGCCTGGTTCAGAGCAGGTAGTAAAAGGCAGGTAAGTGTAAAAAAGATTTTACTCTTTTCCCTGTTCTCCCTTAAGCCGTTTCCCTTTTTATTGTTTTTGGTGTTGCTGTGGCTGGTATTACTATTATTATATAAGTACATTTTCTTAAGGTTCTTTATGGTTTTGTTTTATATTTAGATATTTAGTTCATCTGAAATTTAATTTTTTATATGGTGTGATGTAGATATCTTACCTTACTGATTTTGTAGAATAGATAGGTAAGCATTTATTAAAAAGATGTGCAAGTAAGCCTGGTAATTTACTGATGGAATTGGGCCTGCATTTTTATTTTAGTGGACCCACACAGGGTTTTTTTAAATGCTGAGTTAATTACTAATATTTTTTAAATTAAGAGATTTTATTTAAGTCCTTATTTATAGTTTCTCTTAAAAAGAGAATCTGGCACCCTGGCTGGTGTGGCTCAGTTAGTTGGAGTGTTGTCCCATGCACTGAAGGGTCATGGGTTCATGACACATACGGGAGGCAACCGATGGATATTTCTCTCTCACATCAATGTTTTTTCTCTCCCTCTCCTTTCCTGTCTCTATAAAATCAAGAAAAACATGTCCTCTGGTGAGGATTGGAAAAAAAAAGAGAATCTGGAAACAAAATCCTGTGCAGTTATTATCAGAGCAAAATTATGCGTTTCCCCGGTCACATATGGGCATGTGCTCTTCAGTAGGCCATAGTCCCCACCCATCTTTGCTTCAGTTATTTATGTTCTTACCTGGCTTCCATAGGCATTTGAATTTGCAGTTTCCAACACACCATTTTTTTCTACTTTTTTGAAATGAAACCTTTACCATACGTCTTATTCCCTTGTATGCATAGGTTTGTTTTTAGACTCTAGTCTGTTCCATTTTTATACTGTTTTCATAGTCTTTAAATTTTTGTAGTTTTGATACCTTATAGGTTAAGTATCTTGTCATGGTTCTTTTAAATTTTTTCCTTGACTATGTTTTTAGCACATTTATTCTTCCGGATGAACAGTTTGTCAAATTTAAAAATAGATCCCATCGAGATGAACTGAAATTCAATTAACTTTTTAAATTATTTTTCAGAAAAACGATACCTTTGCAGTTTTGAATCACTTCACTTAGAAATATGTCTTTAATTTTATTTGGGTCTTCCTTGATAGTCTTTGATCAAATGTTATATATATTTTTAAATTTAGCTCTTGCGTATTTCTTATATTTATTTCCTGGGTATTTTATAACTTGCTATTGTGTGGGATCTTTTTTCCATTATATTTTCTAATTGATTATTGTTGGTTCTTCATGTATCTCTGTGTTGATTTCATGTCTAGTCACCTTTCTGAAAACTATTTTGTTTTGGATAGCTCTTTTGACCTGGTATATATAACTGAATCTCTTTTATTTCATTTTGTTTCTTAGATTCCATTTGAGAGACTTTATCCTTTAACAGAGGAATCAAACCATTCATGGACACTGAGACCAACACACATCTACTTTCATTCCTGACATCTTATTTTCTGTTTCTATTTTCATGGTTTCTTGTTTCATTCTTTTCTTTTCCTGACATTTGTTGAGATTCTTTTTCCTTTTTTTCTCTTCAAGTAGTTAGAATGTTCATCATTATAATCCTTTTAATGATTCTGATGATTACCTTTAAAAATACATTTTTTTTATCCATACCAAGTGTCTATTAGTAGCTGCGAGCTCTTTCTGAATAAGACCTTTATTGTGAGTTTTGTTTTTTTAATTCCCATACCCCTGGGAATTAAGTCATTTTACCATTTCCTCATTGTTAATACATCTTTTATTGCCACTCATCAGATAAGGAAAAATATACCTTCCTGTCAACAATAATTCAGCATAGAAGAAATAATTAATTTTCCATTAAAATGATGTGTTTAGATATAAGTGAAATGTTGAAATACACTTTCTTTAAAAATTTTTTTTTAATTGATTTTAGGGGGAGAGGGGGGGAGAGAGAGAGAGAAACAGAAACATTGATTTGTTGTCCCACTTATTTATGTACTCATTGGTTGATTCTTCTATGTACCCTGACCAGGGATCAAACCCACAACCTTGGTGTATGGGGACAGTGTTCTAGCCAACTGAGCTACCCAGTCAGGGCCAAAATACACTTTCTTGAACTGAAAAAAAAAAAAAATGTTCCTAAATAAACATCTGAAGTCATATAACTAGGAGACCTATGAGTTGTAGCTTGAAGTATGAATAGGGACAAAGATTCAAGATCAGAATGGTATCTTGTTTTTATACTCATATGACCATTTATTAAATAGGCTGGCCTTGGTGGTGGTAAATAAGGGAATTACTGTACTCTTCTCCCTTTAAACTTGCTGGTTCTGATATCCCTTTTCTTTCTTCGGATGATATATGACATAGAACTCACAGCTTTTGGCGGGGGGTGGGGATTCCTATGAACTTCTGAAGCTCAGCTAGCATCAGCTCCCTGGTCTCTCTTAGGAGTGCTGCTGCCCTCCTTACTTTTGGTCTGAGGCAGGGGGAGAAGGACTGTTCTTGCTCTCATCGATAATTTAGTGGAGTGAAATTGTTGTCCCTCCCCCCCCATTAAAATGGTATTCAAAGAGTTTAAATAGATGTGAAATACTGAAGTACACTAAAACAACAAACAAAACTGCATATAAATAAGCATCAGAAGTCAAATTTTCAGGAGACCTGTAGCTTTTATTGGGGGAAAAGAAAAACAGCGCAGCATTTTTCTCTCACTAGTTCTGTACATTCCTTTAAAATATACTTATCTTGGTGAATCCTGTACAATGAATCTCTAACAATCTCTAACATAAATAGGCTGATCACTATCCAGGATCAATTTGATCACCTCTTAGCAAGACCTGTATGATGTTTTTAGGATTTCTCTTTAGAGTGTGTTGGACTCTATAATTCATTGTCTTTACTTTGAACTTCAGCTGAAGCTGTGAAACAATAGGATATCTGGATGATTATTCTTCTCTTTGTGGATTATAATAGATCACAACTACTTTCAAGTCTAAATCATTTAAAAATACATTGTAGTTTCTCTGTGAAGTCTGTGGTTCTCATTAGAACTTACATGTTTTATTATGTTGATGAAACTATTGTACTTCCAAAAATTACAAGTGTCAGTCTTATTAAATATCTTTTTAATGTCTAAAATTAACTTTGAAGATGATGTTACATTGACATATAAAGTACTCCTTTAACATATATCACTTTTAAAGTACTATGGTTAAAGATTTCAACTAAAAACAGTCTTTTTTTAAAGGTACTGAATAGCATCAATTCAATTATTCACAATCCAAGAGCTCCAGTAATAATTTATAAACAGAGCAAAGGAGGAGCCCAACATTTTAATAAAGATCTTGATTGCGGATTTGAGCATCTTGTTCCAATATTAGAAATGTGGGCAGATCAGCTGACTTCCCTAAAGGTGAGGGGTTGAATATTCTTCACATGCTTTGAAAATCTATTGGAGTCTGTGGACTTTATTAATAGGACTAGGCTTAATTTGTTTTGTTTGTCTTAACTGTAAAGCTGACAAGGCTTATCTAAATGTGAATCTTGCTACTTACATATCTGTTTTAAGTACTACCTATTTGATGTTGTCATTACTGTAAGTTTTGCCTCCTATAAGGTTCTACCAGACGAGATGTTTTTAGGCCCATTGCCTTGTTGAAAATCTGTAGTAGATCCACTTTGACTTCTGAGTCCTTCCCTGTTCTCCCTTCATCTCCCTTGTTTTGATGTCCCCATGCTACAGATTTTCCTGGCCTATTTCTCTATAGATTTCATTCCATTTAATTGGGGATGTTTCTTTTCTCTTCATATTTTAAATTATTTCTTTTCTTTCAAAGCTTATCTCCATATCTGTCTATCCTGTACAGCAGATTGTGGTCAGATAGCAGCCATTACTACTGTTACCTATTCTATCTATGGGAGATGGGATATTCTTCACTTTATAGAATTATTGTATATTCTGTATTAACTTCAGGTTTTTTTCAGTTTTTGTTGAGTAACTCACTGAAAGGTGAATTGCTAAAGTCAATAGTATTTAATTTCTGTTCCCTTTAAATTTTAGATTTTTCAATAACTAATATATATATAGCATACCTCTGTTCATGAAGGTGTGAGTCAGTAATAGTATTTGTCAATAGAAACCTTATTACAGGAAGTATAAATGATGCAGAAGATATGAGTAGGAATGTGTAAGTTCCATGGGTTTTGTCTCCCACATGTCCCAAGGAACTTCCTGATATGTGATTAACACTCAATATTTGTCAGAAGAATGAAGCAGAATAACACATTTCAAGGCAACAAAATGGAAATGATACAGAATTTTTAAAAAGTTTTAATGAAAACACACCTGTAACTGATGAAAGAATCTTTACATTCAGCCTAATTTCACCTTCCCATTTTAAATAGGGCTCAGATAAAGCTATAAAATTAAAAAAATTGTAATTGAGTGACAGTGTTGGCTTAATGTACCTGTTTTATAGGCCTAAGTTCCTCCAGTTTGTATCTCAGAAGAGGGCGAAATAATTAGTGGTTAATTATGTAAATCATGGCATTTCCCCCAGGTATTGCTTGCCAGGGGATTCTTCTAGTAGGAGGGAATAACACTGACTCCACTTTTCTTCTTGGGCAGATGGGCCAGAAAATGCCCCAGCCTTCCCGAGACAAGGGAAAGACTAGAAGGGGGAAGGAGACAAAGGGAAGAATCAAATAAGTGGATAGTTATTGACTATTTATGATATTCAAGGCAGTATGGGAGGTGTTAGGAAGGGAAACACAAAATTCAGATTAATTGGAGAAACAGAACATATTAAAATATATGAAATAAAATTTCACCATTCACTATATATCATTACAAGAAATGAAAACAAGCCATGAAGTGCCAGTTGGATGATGCAGATAACTTGTACTCCAGATTCTGGAGGAGGAAGGGGCCCCCCAAAAAGCTTTACAGTGGTGATGAATTCTTGCTACTGTATAGTTTTCCCACTGGAAGGAGACAAGGAGAGTTAGGTTTATAATTAGAATATCCTGAGGACCCCTAACAGGAATTTAGTGGCTCTGCCACTGAAGTAACTCATGGATTTGGGGCAGTGCTTCTGATATTTACCTTATATTGCAGAATCAAGATTCAGATTGAGAAACTACATGAGGTTCCTTGAGGTTTCCTCATATGAAAGGTTTACTACACGGTAGCAGCCTCTAAGTTGGGAACCACCATTTTCCCAGATTAGTTTTTTTCTCAGGTTAGATTTGGGGTAAAATGACGGAAAAAGCATGGAGCTTGCTAACTGGCTACCTCCTTCCTCCTGTCTTTCCCACCTGCCTTTCCAGGAAAGGTGGGCCATAGACTAGCTTTTTCAACCAGTGCACTGCGGCTTTCCCATTCCCCAGTGCTGCAGAGACCAGTCATCCAAAGTCAGAAGGACCTTAATAATTTTACATCCCCAAGGCTGAGCCATGTGGAGAACCTAGGAGATCCTTTTTTAGGTTTTTCAGGGCTTACTGGATGGACTGTACTACGACCATTTTGCACTGCTAAGTATACCAGACATCGTTTTTTCTTAATTTTGTTAATACTTTTATTCTCAAGCAAAATTTTCTATTTGGTATGGTTTTTATACATAGACCCTTTGCTTATGATTGCACCTTGTTGATGGAGTGGAGCATTGGTTAATGAAGGTATCATGCTGTGACTTTCTTGACTTTTTTCAAATTCTGGTGGTACTTAATGTTTAAAACATTTGACACTGAATGTATTTACCTTGAATTGCTAAAGTAGGTCATTGCCTTCTTACCAAATGAAAGGTTAAAGGTGTAAATATGTGAGGTCTGGGCATGAATTGGAAAGTGTTAAATAAGTGGAAACTAAAAGAAGTTAGAAAATTTTTTGTATACTTCTTTCTGTATTCTGGCATTGCACTAATACAGGAACCACCTGTCACATGTAGCCTTGATCACTTGAAATGTGGCTAGTTCCAATTGAGATGTGCTGTAAGTATAGAATACAAGATTTAGAAGACTTAATATGGAAAAAATAATTTATTAAGTATTAAATGATAGCATTTCAGTTATATTGGGTTAAATAAAATATTAGAGTTAACTAATGTCACCTGTTTCTTTTTACTTTTAGAGTGCAGCTACTAGACAATTTAAAATTGCTGTAATTCACATTCCATTTCTTTTGGATAGCATTGTTCTAAAGGGCCAAGTACTGTGACATGCACACATAGATGTTCAGTAAATATTTATCAATTGACCAGTCTTAACAGTTCTAAACTTTCAGTAGCCTTGCCCCTTGTGCACAGTTTAAAATAGATTAGGGTAACGTGTCTAGGCCAAGAAAACTAAGTAGGACATCATGAAGACTAAGTAGAATTAATTCAGGCATCCTTTCACATTAAAACCTGCCTGGAGATATCTGCCATAACATGGATGAATCTGGAAAATATTATCCTAAGTGAAAGAGGCCAGTCACAAAAGACCTTTTATAGTATGATTCCATTTTATGTAAAATGCACAGAATATAGGAAATCCATAGAAAAAAAAGTAGATTAGTAGTACCCAGGGAGAAAAAGAAAGATAAGGGCTGGGGCAGGGAAGAATGGGGAATGACTTCAAGTAGGTGCAGGCTTATTTTTGTGTTGATAACAATGTTCTGAAATTAGATAATGGCTTCTCATCTCTGTAAATATATTAAAATACTGTATTGTACACTTAAGGTGAATATTATGCTATGTGAATTACATCTTAATAAGTCAGCTATAAAAAATTCAAGGCAAAAATATAAAGAACAAGCTTATTTTTTACCCATCATTAATTTAAACCAATTATTTAAATAACATATGCTAATAATAACATAGTTACTTAAAAACAGATTCAAGACAATCAATATGGAATGTTTTATGTAAGGCCTGTATTTACCTGGAGAAAACTAATTTAACAGACTTTTTCTAAACTGGTAATGGTATTTTTTAAAAAATACTGATAATGGTTAATGAATTTATTAAACCCCTAACATCCTGATTTTTTAAAAAGATATTGAAACATAATTATATGTTATTAGCATTAATTTGGGGACTATTTTTTAAAATCAATAATATCATGTCGTTTCTTTTGTTATAAAGGGTTTGTATAAGTCCTTGAAAATACTGTCTGCAGAATTGGTGCCTTGGCATAATTTAAAGAAGCAGGATGAAAATGAAGGTATTAGAGTTGAAGACCTGCTATTTATAGTAGATACCATGTTGGAAGAAGTTGAAAATAAGGAAAAGGTAATATTTAATACTTATGTAAAGGTTTACATTTTAATGTAATCTTAACTTAAAATTGATATATGGATATTGACATTTGTTCTACTAGGACTCTGTTTCTCTTTTTAAAGTTTTTATTAAAGGTTTGGGATTATTTTAAGATGTGAACTATCTTTCTTTTTCTCCCTCTTTTTTGGACAGGACAGCAATATGCCAAACTTTCAAACTTTGCAAGCTATTGTTTCTCACTTCCAAAAATTGTTTGATGTGCCTTCTTTAAATGGAGTCTATCCTCGAATGAATGAAGTTTATACTAGGCTTGGGGAAATGAACAATGCTGTGAGAAACCTCCAAGAACTCTTAGAATTAGGTAATGACCCTCTGTCATTTTGGGCCCCCATTTAAGAATTATTCTTAATAAATCAACAAAAAGCAGGTAAAATTTTTTAAAGTAAAAAATTGAGGATAACTAAAGCATAAGATATTTGACTCAGTGATTTTGAGAATTCTCTTCTAAAATTTCCTATTCTTTTATATCTCTTTTGCAGATAGTTCATCCTCATTGTCTGTGCTGGTGAGCACAGTTGGAAAATTGTGTAGGCTGATTAATGAGAATGTGAATGACCAGGTTATGCAGGTATTGGGACCTGAAGACCTCCAAAGGTATTTATTTCAAAAAGCTTGCAAAGTGTCATCCAGAATGCTTGGAGTGGTAAAATTAAAGACTTACAAAATTTCATAAGTTATTTACCTTTCCTGTTTGGAATAGCATCTTTTAAATAACTTGACAATCTAAAATAATTTCACACGTTAGGGATGGAGAGAATGCCAAGTATTTTCAAGATAAAAATAGATTGTAGGGCACAGAAGGTGGATAAGTTTAAATAATCCAGCATTATTACTGTAAGCCTGTTCCCAGGGGAAATTATATGTGGAGAAATTCAAACCTTGTTTGCAACTTCATGTGAGTTTAGAATATATAAACAAATTCTGTTTTTAATATACTACCATATTTGATTAGAAGATAAAATGGTAAAGATTTTTTTTTTTAAAGCTAGGTATCTCTAATATAAAACTCTTCCTCCTCACACCCACACAAATTTTATACTGCAACATATGGGAAGGAAAAAAATTCACTATTCCATATGTTCTGTAAGTTTTCTAAGAACCTTTACCTAATCTGACACTTGAATTTTCTGATACTTGATGCTTTTAAAAGGAACATTTATCTCACTACTGGTCTTTTTCCCCTTCCCACTGTTTTACTAACTACTGATACTTAATGTTTAATAGATATAACTAGATATAAAGGCCAATTATTTTTTAATATGTTATAAAAACATGGTCTCTTAAGAATCCTTGAGCTAAATGGAAAGTTCCCCATATTAAGGGAACTTTATATAAATTTATCTAAATTTAACCTTGGAGCAGATATTTACACTGATAATAAGAGATTTTTTTTTTTTTTTTAGAAAAGTGATGTTTGATGAACAAAGAGTTCAAAAGGAAGGATTGCAGTAAATTATTAAATTTATATTTAAATTAGCAGGACAGTTTCTATTTTGAAAATATTCTATATTCAGTCAGATGCAAGAACTTTAAGTTGGAAATTCAGTGTATACTGTGCGTTTCTTTTTAAAAGCATTATCACCAAATTGGAAGAACATGAGGAGTTTTTTCCAGCGTTTCAGGCATTCACTAATGATCTACTTGAAATCTTAGGTAAGATCTCGGTAAATGGTGTTTAAATTTCAAGTCTTAAGATGTCAGTGGGTTTGAGGGAAGGATGTTCCTTAGTCACTGGATTAGTGTTTTACCTAGAGTGTTTGGTAGAAAGTGTCTGGAAACCACTAACAGTTCTCGAAAAACACTCCTAAATTGTAGTTAGAGGTGGTTGGGATTAGTCTACAGAACAGAGAAACACATATCCTTTAAGGAACAAGGGGCTGCCTTTGTCCTGGCACCTTAAGATGAGAAATGGCATTTACTCTGGCTAGGCCCTGACTCTGTCATTATCTAATGAGAAATTTTGATAAAATTTATGACCTTGGAAGGTGTTTTTTTCTCCTTTTCCTCTCGCTCCTTTTAAAAGATAGTGCCTATTTGCTGTGTTTTTTAAATATACAAATTAGCCCTGGCTGATGTGGCTCAGTTGGAGCATTGTCCTGTACACCAAAAGGTGGTGGGTTCGATTCCCAGTAAGGACACACACCCAGGTTGTGGGTTTGATCGCCGGTATAGAACAATATGATTTTACTTGCTTCCAGATAGGAGTTAACTTAAGTAGTGAAGATCTTGTTACTGATTAATATTTTAATAAATGTACTGGTAACACTTATTTCAGAATCCTTCTATAGAAACTTCATCTCAGGTTATTGTCAGCATGGTTCATGTGAGATCATTTGCTTCCAGAAGCCAAGTCTCCCTGCAGATGAATTTTAGTCATAGTTGGAGTTAAATATTATATATAACATTGGGAAAGTTAAATCTGTTTTGGCAAACATGACTTTTTTTATTATTAGATGTCGTATTATGCATCTAGAAGTAGAGTGGTATACTGAATAACAGATATGGAGAAAGACACTCTTTTATATAAGCTGAAGATTCTCAGATCAGCCAAGATTCTTCTCTGTGAGGTTGATTTATAAGGTTGATTTCTCATTTAGTGAGAAAACAGGTGTGATCTTGTACCTTACCATGATGCAATGTGTGAACTAAGTTTTCTGTTGTAGATTTGCTTATATTTTTTTCTTGTATCTTGATGCTTTGTAAGTGGATCCAGACAAGTACAACAAAGGTCATCTATTTAGGCAGAAGGAAGAACAACCAAAATCTAGCTAAACATTAAGGGAGAAAGGTGGATTCCAAGGAAGCATATTTTATGTAAAGGAAATGAGTTTATGAATAGTGGCCTAGCAGAATAATCTAGAAAAAGTGGTGAGAATCTAGAGAACCTGCCACTGGGGCTTACCTTAAGTAGAGATGGAGTTTAGATAATCAGAGAAAAGGACCTTGCTTCCTCAGTAGCCAGGAGCTTTCAGAAAGAGTTCCAACTTAGGCTGATTAGAAGAAGATAGTCTTAGAAAAATCAGATTCAGAAAGAACCTGGCAGAGAAAAACCTGAACTGGTTTATCTAGGAAGCTGGAGCAGGCTAAGCTCTATAATACATTGCATCTGAGATTTGTACTTTGGGAAGCCTCACAGCTTTTATTAGGTAGATATGTTTCATCCTAAAAGGTAGACTTAAGAGTTATCCTACTAATGAGAAATCTTTCCAAGAGAATTAAGGATAGGACTGTGTTCCATGCAAAGAAATCCTTAGGGACCCAGGAGAGAGGTGGCCTCTACCTGAGATTTTACCATGTAGGCCCACCCATGTAATTATACAGATTTAAAGAGGCAGTAACATAATATCATAAATGTGGCCAGAAGGAACTGTTAATAAGAGCATACTGCTAATGAGTGTAATATCAGAGTCAGTGAATTCTTGTATGTGGTAGCTTTTACAAACAAGATGCCCTGTGAAACATCTTGTCTGAATTAGTGATAATCTTATCACCACTATTGGAGAGAAACTCCATGTGCATGAGGGCACCAGTGTTGTTGCTTTTGTGTTTGAGGTTTGCCTTTGCATAGAGATTCTCATTTCATTTGAGCCTATCACTAGATAAAGTTACTCTTTTATTATTCTTTTTTTTATTACAGAAATTGATAACTTGGATGCCATTGTACCTGCAGTAAAGAAATTAAAAATACTTTCATACTGAAAACAAATCATTTTTACTGTGTAAATTGCATTCTTAACATCCTAAGTATTTTGTAGGATTGATCTTACTTTTGAGACAAGAGTTATAAAATGTATTTACTCTCAGAATTCATCCCCTTGTTAGTATTGGGTCGTCCACTCATACTTTTTATTAACTTTGAGAGTCTTATGTAGAAAACAGTTGTTAAGTTAAAGTAGTAAGTTAACTTTAGACCCTTTAATCATTTCTTAAGCAATTCCTGAGTGCTTAAAATTTAAGATTGTTTTAATGTATAGTGTATGAGTAAAAGAGAAACTCAGGGAGAGATTGAAAGTAACAGAAAGGTCACATTTAAGTTCAGGGTTTAGTGATCTTTCTGGGTCTGGGAACAAGGAATGCCAGTGGCTCTCTAAAGTCCAGTAGGAAGTTGTTGCTTTCCTGGCAAGGAATTGGCACCTTCCATTAAGATTTCCCTCCTGGCACTTGTCCTTTCAAAGCAGGAGGAAGAAAAGGAGGAGGAAGTGTGTGTTAGGGTAGGAAAAGAATAACGAGGTAACAGAGATGAGTAGATAAGTCTCTTAAAAAAAGTGTCTTTTTTTTTGCAATCTTGATGTAATGTACTTTTTATAAGGGCATGAGATCTTAAATAAAATTTTTATGATGAATTTTCAAACGTAAGTGTCTTCAGTGACTTATTTGTATCGCTCACAAATAATGAGTCATATTCTCTTACTAGGCTGAGCCTTCCTTGGGCAGCGGGTTCACCCTTGGCTGCCATCTACTTATCTTTTCTCAATATTCAAGTCTGATTTTCTTAAAGGACTAGTGTTCTGCCTCACATCTATGAGTACAAGCCCCTTACTGCTGCTTCCCCCCCACCACAGCCCTGGCATCCCCCCACCTCACTTATAATAGTAGGCATAGGAAGATGTTTCAGTTATTCTTGTTTGTTGTTTGTTGTTGTGTAGAATGTTGTAAAGAATTTCCAGGAAGCAGCAGGGTGGTTTGGAGAGACTAATGTCAGTAGATAAGCATCCAGGTTCTTGGTGTTGTGATAGGGATTAGACATAGTTCTTTCTAGATTTAAAATTCTTTGTTTTGTTAGCCTGCAATTACATTTCTAAACACTAGTCTATAATTTGTGAAAGAACCTGTGTCTTTAAGGATTGGATAGAAAAAAATATTTGGGCCCTGTCCAGTGTGGCTACATTGGTTGGAGCATTGCCCTGTACACCAAAAGGTGGCGGGTTTGGTTCCAGTCAGGACACATATCCAGGTTGCAGGTTCAGTCCCCAGTTGGGTGCATACAGGGGACACTGATTGATGTTTCTCTCTCTCCCTTCCTCTCTCTAAAATAAAATTTAAAAAAAATCTTTGAAAAAATATATTTGGATATCCAATAATGTAAATATTCTGAGTTGATTGGATTACTGCAAGAAATTGCTATGAGACAGTTTGGAAATTAAACAGTATTTGAAAGGAAGAAATGTAATTTAAAAATTATGTTAATCTAAGTTTTGTCAGCTAGCTTAAGAGCCTGTGGCTAACTCTTAGTTTAAAACAGAGGTTTTACAGACTCTTCCTCAGAGGCCTAAGAGTTTTTTGGAGGGCCACTTGAGAGGGACAGTGCCACTAGTAAGAATGTTAAGCCCTCTTTATCAGATCTACTTTTTTCCAATTTTAATCATTTACTTTGTATCCAGCAACATTGTTAAAAACTTTTTGATTAATTCTAGCAATTCATCTTTAAATTATTTTGGATTTTTAAAAAATATATATATCTTTATTGATTTCAGAGAGAGGAAAGGAGAGGGAGAGAGATAGATAGAAACATCAATGATGAGAGAGTCATTGATCGAGCCCACAACCCCGGCATGTACCCTGACCGGAAATCGAACCCCGATCACCTGGATCCTAGGTCGATGCTCAACTGCTGAGCCACGCCCGGCCAGACTAATTTGGATTTTTATGTTCATGATCATATCATCTGCATATAACAACAGTTTTGGTCAGATATACTTGTTTTTTCTTGCCTTACTACCTAAGCTTCAATATAATGCTGAGTAGAAGTGGTGATAGGAAGCAGCCCTTTCTTGTTCCCAATTTCAAAAGAAAGTCTTTTACTGTTTCACCATTCAATATGATGTTTGCTACTATTACTATAAGCAGAAATCTAAGCTGTATATATCATTTTCATCCTTTTATTTTCAATATTTGTATGTTTGAAGTGAACCTTTTGTAAACAGCATATAACTATATTTTTTATTTTCATGGACTTTCACATTCTAGGTTTTAATAGTGGATTTATTGTGATTACAAATATAATGAGGTCTTTTGACCATCTTCCGTATCTATTTATCATAGTTTTCTGTGTCTTTTCCTTCTTATTTTTTTGGGGGAGGGGTGTTGATTTTTCTTCATTCTCATTTCTTCTCCACTATTGATTTGGAAGTTTTACATTTCACCACTGTTGATTTTTCTCTTGTTACTCTATTATATTGGTTATCTTAAAGATTTTAATATATACTTTGTGAGTCAGTGTCCAATCAGGAGACAAAAGCCACTTTGCTAGCTGCCATGGAAAACAGCACATCAGTGGGAGAAAGAAAAGTCCCTCTTTTTGCTCTGGCCTTGCAGTCTCTACTCAGTGCCCTCTGTTGGCAAGGCATAACATCAAATCCCCTGGCCAAGGTAGGAGTCTGTGGTGTCTGCATTGTAAAAGCCAGGCAAAGAAGGGTTGACTTGGAGCTGAGAGGTGATAAACTAGTAACTGACACTTATAATTTATTTTAAAAGTATAAAACTATCTTTAGCTCCCTAAATAAGATAAGGGCTTGAACACTTTAATTTTCCTCTGAACCAGCCTCATGTCCCTACTTAGATGTCAGTACAAGCATTTTAGTGCCACTGTTTTTGAACCCAGTTTTTGCAAAAATTTTTGGTTGGTTGCTTGTGTGTATTTTTTAAACAATCAAAACTTACTTAGGTTTACCAACATAATTTACAGATTTCTTTGCTCTCCACTGTTTCCTACACACTACTTCTAACCTAATGTTACATTTTCCTTCTTGCTGAAATACATTTACTGGCCATTTTTGTTTAATCTGCTCTGTGCCTCGTATTTTTAAAATTCTACTTTTTATAATTTTTACCAGTTAGCTTTCCTTTAGTAGGAATTACCTGCTACAGTGGTCCACATGAGCCCTAGATGGGAATGGCAACCCTAAGGGCCAGTTTGTGGTTGCCTCTTACCGGGCTTCACATGGTTCCAGGTTCTAAACCAATTTTCACATTAGTTTCAAGTTTTGGGGGTTCCCCCACCAAGTCAGTTGTGTTTAATTTTAGACCCGGTGCTCCTGTAGGGGAGATTAGCTGATTGTTTTCACCCATTGCTGATAACTAGTTCCTTGTCTTTATTGGCAACTAAGGTGTTTTCTTGATGACACTAAGTTTTTTAGGCTCCTTGTCCCTTACACAGTAGCCTTGCCTTGCCTTGCCTTGCCTCCTGGCTGGTGTATGCTGAAATTCTGGTTCCCTTCAACACTTAAACACCCCTTCAGCTCTGCATTGCTTTAGATTTCCTCTTTGGATTACCAGGAACCTTACCTCTGTTACTTTTTAATTAACCATGTTTAAAATAAATATTCATGCTTTAACTAGGTTTTCTGTGTATTTGGAAGAGGAAAGATAGGTTTTCACTTGTCTGCTTTGTCTTCCATCTTGATCAGTGGTTTTAAGGTTGCCAGATTTCAGGATGTGAAATATGATACATTCCCTTTTACTTCTTTGGTACTTTACCATTTTCAAGGCCCTTGTCTACTTAGTGAACATGACAGTGCCATTGTGAGGTAGATAGGACAGGCATCATTTGCCCCACTTTATTATGAGAATTTGTCATTCAAAATAGAAATCTCAGCAGAAACAAATTTTATTATACATCTACCATGTATTTAGCATAACCTTGGATGATGGAGGTAAAAATTCAAGTAGCTTATAGTTTAGTTGGAGAGTAAACGGAAACATAAAATAGCAAACACAATACAAGTAGTTGCTTAGCATGTAGATACCTAATAAACTTCTTTTAAAAATTAAATGTTACAAGACAGGGAATTGTTAAAATGAAAAATGCACAGTATTGACAGTAATGCTGTACTATAGGTGGTGGGGAGAGGCCATTTCAGTATGGATTGGCTTAATGGAGGAGGTAGATTTGAGATACACGTTTAAGACTTCAGTAGGAATTTAATAGGCAGGATATAATATTTGGACTGTTCTGGAATACAGCATCTGCATATAAGTAGCAAAAAACTGGAGACCAGATTATGTAAGGTTTAAAAGGCAAATTAAGGAGTGGGCTTTAATCTTATAGAAAAGAGAAAATCATAGATAATTTATAAGTGAGAACAACAGAGTAAAACTTTAAGATGTTACTATTCTTCAGAAAAGCTGCAGTTAATGTAGTGGTGGGGACAGGAAACTGATGGAAGGGGGGTATTGCCTGAGTGGATAGGAGAGATGAGGATGTGACCTTGATAACATCAGAGAACAAGAATATTTGGTTTTATAAAGTTTGAAATGCAAAAGAGGCACTTGTTTGAAATATACAATTTACATGGTTTGCTTGAAAAGTGGAGCCGAAGTCCAAACCTGTCTGAGAGGGTACAGGAAGCCCCTTTGCCCTCTGGCACTGACTGCTGCAGTGTCCAGTGCTCTTCTAAGGGAGCACAGATGGAGACCTGGGTCTGGAACTCGGCTGGCATTTCCTATGGAAATAATTCCACATGCTGGAGTTTGGTCCCAGGCCATCCCACAAGGTGTTTAGGTATATCACTGTATCATTGCTGCCATCAGAAAAATGCATTTTAGTTCCAATTCAGATACAGGAACAAATCCCCAGGCAGAGGAAGTGGCAGCCTGAAGGGCTTAGGTAGTGTTAGCTCTTAGCAATTTGGAGGTGGGTCACCTTTTAGTCCCATAAAAGAAGCGGCCTCCATTGGTTAGCCATTGCTCCAGGAACAGATCTCCCTCACCCCCTATGGCACTTTTGACACATACTTTCAGGCAAGGCCTAAGTCAGATGGTCTGTAATTACCTAACAAAAGTGAAAAATCGGCCCAGCTGGTGTGGCTCAGCGGTTGAGCATTGACCTATGATCCAGGGGGTCTCGGTTCGATTCCTGGTCAGGGCACATAGCTGGGTTGCAGGCTCGGTCCCCAGTAGGGGGCCTGCAGGAGGCAGCTGATCCATGACTCATCACTGATGTTTCTCTCTCTCTCCTTCTCCATTCCTCTCTCTCAAACCAATAAAGATATATATATA